GCAGCCAAGTAAAGTGCAACATGACAGTAGACAGCAGACAGCAAACAACAACATGCCGCACAACATGGTGCTCATACAAATGAGCAGTAAATCTCATCGAATTTATCAAACCGTACTGTGAAAGTAAACACAAGATAAATCTGACATGCCGACAAACTCAGATCGCGATGACGACGCTGATATTCCAAGTGATTTCTTTTGGCAGAGTGCAATGAAACTGCCGATGCTGCCGCTTCAGTTGAGCAGCCAGCGAAATATGCAAACTAAGGCAATTTTTCGCTAGCAGCCCACAAGTTAAAGTTCCCATATGTCTCTCATGTCAGTCGACCTTTCAACAATGCCATCAACTGCAGGCTGCCCCCAACTTCTGCTGCGAGCGCAAAACACAAATCATGTTGAGACGAAAAAAAAAATGTAATGCTCATAAATAGCACACCCACGTGTTTAAAACACTCAGTGCATAAATCAATGATAAATACAGACGAAGTAAACTAAGGCTCCTGAAACAAACGCCAAGCGCAGCATCCTCTTGGGTATGCTCCGTTTTTTCTTTGTTTTGCCTTCTTCATTATAAATTGTATAATATTTGCTGAGACAACGCCATGGCTTCTAATTAAAATAAAGCGCTACGAAGAAACAAAACTAAAAGAGAATGCATAAAGAATGCAAAGTAAACAATGGTGCTGACTCTGAATAAGTTAATATCAAAACAATCAATGGAAACGTCCCATAATATATTTCGATATTTGTATTTAAAATGGCAGGTATGGTCGACGAACCGAAAATTAAAAAAGATATTTGGCTGGAAACGGCAATCACAGCTACATATAACAACATAAATAAACAATGACATAAATAACAAAAGCATGCATTAATTAACAAACAGAAGGTGATGGGATACCGTTAAGACAGCGGCTCTTAGCTTTAAGGTCGGCTGCTCGCTCCCCTCGGAAGTGACGCAAGGGTAAGATAAGGAACACGTTGAATGCTGCAGCTGCGACCTACACCCAGAAAATCCCCTTACTAAATTCCACAATCATTTAAATAACGCAGCAGATCTGCCGCCCACAGCGAGCATACATGTCAAGTGCTGCTGTAAATCACTTGGGAATTCTAGTCTACTCTTTCGTACAAAATGGCCCAAAATCAAGCGTATTCAGTGTAGAAATTTTCGTTTTTCTTTTCCATAAGTGTAACTTAACCCATGTACATTTCAACCTAGATATAATCCTATTCTCCGAATTCAATAAAAGTAAAGAGAAAACTCAGCCTTACCACAAATGCTCTTTAAGAACTTTTTCAATTCAATATAAGGAGTACAATATTAAAATCATCCTGCACCCACACTTTTTTTGTGCCAATCATTCCTATGGCAGCTTTCTGATATAGAATAGCTAACCGATTTGATTAAACTCAGATCAGATTATGAGAGGTTTCAATAAACCTAATAATCATCATTCAAATTTATTAACAAACTGCATCAAGCTCTTATTAAGCCACTTACACGGAAGAACTGCTTTCAATTAGCCGGGATATACACGCTCCAGAAACATAAACTAATTGCATGTGCAAATTGAAGCTTAAATTTACCCAACGCTGCTCACTTCTGTTTGGCGGCAAGCACGCCACAAACAATGCATCATTTGCGCATTTCGCAGAACATAAATTAAGCGCTTAAATATGCGAAGCACGACTTCCCACAGGCGCGAAATCGTCCAGACAATGGAATACATCGAGCTCTAGCAGCCAACAACACATGTGGCAATGAACGTAGCAAGTTGGGTGCAACTGCAACGCGCCACATGGTTGAACGCCGCAGCTGTCGCAATTGCCGTAAATTTAACCTGTTCAACTTCCTAGCAAAAGGTGCTAATGAGCGCCACAAATGCCTGCGCCACCGCAAGTGACAACCACCGCCAACTAATTGTTTCCCTAATGACAGTTTAAAGCTCGCCTGAAAAGTTTAGCAGGCGAATAGTAGAACGTAAGTAAAAACTTTTTAAGACTAATTTTTTCATTATGCTTCCTCATAAACTACAAGTATACTTTACCAAGAAGATGTTTGTAGGATATACTCTGCTCATCACTTGAATAAGAACAATCGAACAAATTTTTATAATACATTTTTTACAAGTAAATAATTTATAATTCTACAAAGTATGTAAAATTCCCTTTTCTAATTGGAGTACGTACTATACGTTTTTGCTTTAATTATCACATTAAAAACATAAATGAGAACATTTATTTATATTATTTTTTAAAAGTAAAAACAATGAAAGCAAAATTTAGTTTTAAAATAAAAAGTATACACATACATTATTATCCGTATGATCGCATTGCCAAAAGTTCTTAATCGTTTAATTCTTGATGCAGACTTTTGAGAATTCAAGGCTGCTCCAATTCTGCTGCGACTTTTCATTTAATTTATTTTATATTATTTATTTATTTTATATTTAATTTATACTCCGATGGATTTTGAAGAAAGCGAAGTATTGCAGTAGCGGTGCTTCCAATTTTTCCTGCTATTTTCATCATTGTGCAATTCGTTTCATACAAGGACAAAAATGATGCTTTCTCCTTAGGTTTTCATTTAAATCCATCCAATCCAATCAATCAAAATATTTCCGCTATTATGTAGTTTCTTGAATAGAGCCATACCAAAAGAACTATCACTTCAACGATAACTATAGTAGATGGGCGCCTTACTCAAATATCACGCTTTTAGCTATAAAGCTGGCACAACTAAATTAGTTAAATTAATGAAAAGAAAATACCAGAAGCAGACACAAATTTCCTAAACAAACTCTGCAACGCCTAAGCCTACACATTCGCGCTCCAGCTTACTCGTAATTTGTTAGACTACGCAACGCTACTTGGGAGCACGCAACAGTTTATTTTGGTTTAGTTTAGTATCGCAACTTTCGCAAAATTCGCAACTTGCGAGCAACAGCCACAATGATTAGTGCGATGGCTGCCCACGCAATTTGCATAATATTGTGTTAATTGTGAAAGTTAGTTGGGCAAGAAGTGCAGGCGGCTTTAAATAATGCACGATGGCGAGTGATGTGATTAATTACGTAATGAAATGATTTGGTTTTCAGCCATGGGCGCAAACTGGATATCGCCAACAGCAACCAACTGAGCATTAAAGTTATAGCTTTGCGAATGGTAACAAATTGCGAAAGTCCTGCCTTTGTCCGTGTGCGTGCACGTGCGTGTGTGTGTGTGTGTGTGCTTATCGCACGCGCTGGTTGGGCGCGATGGAGAGATGCGTGGTCTCATATTTCATGTGATCTTATTAGAACACGACCCAGGACAACCGACTGTTGTGGCAGCAAGTTACTTTTCCTTAGCTACGCACATTTTGTTGTTTAATTTTATGATTTCATTAAACAAATTGCTCCTGCTCGTGCTCGTGCTTGTGCCCTCCCACAGTTTTCGGGTGTGCATTAGTGTGTGGCAGTAAGTGTGGGTGTGTGTAAGTGTAATTGCCACTTCCCCACATTGACATACTCGTCGTACTTATAAAAACAAAACAAAAAAAAGCAAATAGAAGGCCTAATGAAAACTCTAACAAAGAAATAATTAAAATTTGTCTGAGCTACAGCGAGGAGTGACGTCTGACGACCTTCATCAATCCGGCCGGCTCGGCCGGTCGCTTGGTCGCTCGTTCGTGCGTAGCATTCAAAGCGGAAGACGAAGCCATCCTGCTCCACCCCCTCCACATAAGCCCTAGCCTTAGTTTGGCACAATTTTCCGCTTACATTTGCCTTTAATCTGCTTTAATGCCTTCTCTTATCAGCATAAAACGGCTGCGGTTCGCTTTGCTTTTTAGACATGGCCCGCAAAGGTCGCTGGATGATGAAAACCGCATACACGTGAGCTCTATATATTTACACTGGCAGCCACATGATCAAGTACACCACTCCATCTCCACAGAATCCTTTGTAATTTCAACCCATTTCCAAGCAGTAAACAGAAAGTACGCTTTACGGAGTCAGTCACGTAGAAAGGATTATCACAGGCCCTATCGACCGGAAGCTATCCTGAACTTGTGAAGACAAAAAGTCATATCAAGAAAAAGATAGCTTCAGAAGCCAACCAAACAAGCATAGCACAAAACCTGCTCTGATAATAGTTACAGAGAACGGAGCTACTCACTATTTCTCAATTATAATATATAATAATAATAATATATATTTTCTGCACATTTTTAGCATCAGCTTTAACAATATACAAGTATGTCAGTAAGACAATGTTTTATTCGAAACTTCTCCTAAAACAAATATGTAATATATGCAAAATATATAGAAAAGCTTCAAAGCTATTATATCGAATACTTCTCTTGCAGTCAGTCGTCCGATCCCATCGCGCACTCTCATAATATCTCAGCACCTGCTAAAACGACTGATTTAATTTTGTTCAAATTCAAAAATTATTTCTCTACTAAACAATTTTATTTGCACATAAATCTTTAACATACAATTTTTGTTATTGCTCATCAAAAGTTGTTTCTCAAAATCGTTAAAAAAAACTATAAAGTTGAAGATATAATTTGTTCACAATCTGTCATTGACAATTGCAATTTTAACAGTGAATAAATGCCTTGCACAGAATCGAAGAAGGATACTTTTAGGGCGGAAGTCCCGCTCGACCCGCATGCATTGCAGCTCCAAAGCATGTCGGGGCGTCAGCGCCAAACTAAGGATAGGTTGCAAACAACAAATGCCAATCAAATTCCATGCCCCACACCAGTGAATAGTCCATGCAACATGTTTAAATAGCATTTGGATTTGGCTTTTTTGTGGTATTTACGACGACGTCCTCACCCACGGTGAGAACGTACCCCATAGATACTTGGCACTGATTATCATCGTAGGCAGAAAATGCGCAAACCATGGCATTTATTAGAGTTGGCAACATGGCATTTGATTGGCAGTCGACATTTAGAAGCCATCCGGCGATCTGACGACGCCGGCCCGACATGCTTTGGAGTTGCAATGGACCTACCTACTTGTTGGCCGCTCTAACAATGGCTCGCTTCTTTATCGAGATTTTAATACTAGTTAAGTTTTGCTGACCTTTTACTAATCTACGTGGGTTCTTTTATTACGGGAAGGCTGCATTCACCGCCACTCCGCTCACAGCCCTGGCTTCTGGGTCTCCGTCGAAATTGTGTCAACACTTCCTTTACGCTTCTTCGAAGTAGATTGAATTTCAAGCTTGACAATTCGCCCTGCTGGCACAATTACACTGCGGGTAGGGCTTCGTATGGAATGGTATTTAGGCAACAAATTTTCACAGGCAGCTGGCCCGCGTCTGAACTTTATTAACCAGTCCATTGCAAGAGATATGTCCTTGAAGTACTTGCCAATAAAAAACTTCACGGGTCACTGCCTTCCATGACATTGAGCACATATTTACTGACAATTATTTGATTGGAAATCTGTTTTTTCTTTGAAACATTGGCCACACAGCGCGTATTCCCTATGAGCTCCGACGTTAATTTGTTTGTTTTTTAATAATTGTTGCAGGAAAACTTCTGAGCACGTTTTAGCAAAACTTCTTGCTTCTGTAAAAATCGGATACTGCCACAGACGTCCATCAGTTTTACATTTTCATTATATTGAATTCCGGGACAGCCAGTTTTTTCGCCACAGTCCCACTCCCGAACGGTGCAGATGCCCTTACAGCAGCCCCAACCACCAGCGACCCTGCTGCCGTCTTAGAAATGTGTTAATGGCGAGTAAGAATAAAAGAAACAAGCTACAAAAATCAACTTACGAGCTGTGGCTGGAGCGCAGAGTGTTGTTTGCTTGTCGACGATTTGAAGTTTATTGACGTGCACACTTCTAAAAAAAAATGTGAACTTGGATTTAGAGTTGCCAACTTTAGAACAGTAGTTGTTACACAGTAGTTGATTTTATAGAACAAATCGATAGTTGTAACATATAGTATGTTAATGTGAATTTGGAAACCTTTGAGTCTGTTCTGTACTTAACATATTTACAGCAAGTCTTCTATCATAGTTTCTTCATTAAAATTCCGTTTCACATTGAGAAAGCTCAAAAGTCTGAAGATTTGTATTAAAAATTATTTCTGTTTGGTGCTATAGCTTGGGTTCTATTTTGAAGCCGACTAACTGAATCATTTGTGTAAGGCAATTTGTAACGTATGAGGCAATAATGTTGAGATCTACATAGTAACTGCTTATATAATAATATTCACTTCAAAACCCCATTTTCGTGATGAGTCAAAAATTAAATCGATAACACGTATTTTATTAAACAGCATCAATAAAGCAACATATCGAGTATATTTATGGTATTTTCTATACACACTTATGTATGTATGTATGTTCTTTATGCCAATTCGTAGAAGTAAATGAGAATTATTACATCTTAAATTTTGATTAGTTTTAGCAAAACGAAAAGCTGATTATGCAGCTGAAACAGCAAAACTAATCGACACTCTTGTTTCAGAAAATATCAATATGGAATAGTGAAGAATCTTTATAGTGGTATTATAGAGTGTGTTAATTATACATACAAACATACATACATATGTCTACATCAGAACCATTACAGTTGATCAACTTCTTTGCACTTGTTTCTATTAAAATGGCCCGCAGTGCACATACTAGTAGAGCAGCTAGACGGCGTGTTTTGCTTTTGTTGCTCGTTTGTTTGTTTCCTTTTGTCAGCGTAAAAAATTGCCCAACGACTTTGGCAGTAAATTTGAGCCCATATAGCACATTGCCACCTGAAAGTGTATATGTTTGTGTTCTAACGGCTGTTGTTTACATATGCACACATGTGTTGATGCCTTGCCATTCAGCTAGCAACTTATTCTTGGCCTCTAGGGGCAACCATTATTTCGCACAAGCTCTTGTCTGCGGCTTTTGCACACTTGCCACTTTTGTTTGCGGCCACGCAAAACTTACACGCCCGCTTTTCACGAATTTATTGCAGCACCAAAAGTATTAAATAAAATTACAGACATAAACATGGCGCAAGCTGTCCGTAAAACCCGAAACAGCGTTACAGTACATTAGACAACAACAAAAATACAATAGAGTAAATGAGCGGTGCAATTAACAAAGAAGAAAAACAACTTACCCAGAACCTTTTAAAGTATTACTTTGTGTGTGCGTGTAGATATATATTCCTATTTCACACATAACCGATTATAACATATTCATTGAAACAATAACATAATTGGTAATAAAATATGTAGGGCTTTTGCAAAGATTTCTGAGATTAAATGTGGCAGTTGGGAAAGAGAAATTTGTGCTAGTCGTTTTTTAGAGTCCCGCCCGTCGCGTCTCGTCTCGTTAGGTTAGGATAGGATTACCATTGAAGAAGTGAAACCATCGAAATGCAATGAAATCGGAGAAATACGTGTAAACAAGAGCTTCAATGAAAAGTTCTTTAGGTCTAGGAAAAGCACTCTCGACTTGAATGTCAGAGGAAGACTCCAAATAAAAATCATCTTCATACTCTTCCTTTGATGAGTAATGGCAGTCATAGAAATTATTTTGATTGTAATTGCACTTTAAATAATTGCAAGAAATTGTAAGAAATACTTCAAGTTGTTAACGATAATGAACAAAAAGATTGTCAGTTTTGAGAAAGACCTATATGAAGAAGGAATAATAAAATTTATTTTAAATATATAATTTATTTGCACAGTTTTCATTTTTCCTGTTACTTGCATTCAATCTTTTAAGGTTACTTCGGTTAAAGGATAAAAAAGAGGTAACTACTCAATCTACTGCGCTGCTTATTGTTATTCAGTCCAAAGTGTAGGGCAACGATTTGCCGCGTGCGAGATAAAGATTGCGGCAGCAGTACAGAAAACGCGTATAATGATGAAATCAATAGGGAACGTGCGCCCAGCAGCCTTGACAACAACATCAAAGAGAAGAAAGGAGTGCCCTCGACTTGAGGACAAAGGACGAGTAATCGTGTAAGGCATGCTTTTTGGACTAGGAAGGGTAGAAATTGATATGCGAGCAAACAATAGCAGGCATTCATTATAAATTCCGCAGAGCTAGACACAAATACATATCTGTTACATTGCATTCATAACACATTTATGTGTACACGTCCCACGTGTTGCTGCCGTCCATCCGCCCGGATGGGTCAAGCGAACAAGCGAATGGCAATAATACTCAAATATTCATTCCTACATATATACAATTAGCTTAAATTATCTATTTCATCCTGCATTTTGACAGCATTCGTCTGCACTTCCAATTGGTAATTGTTTTGCCGGTACTGGAAGGAAGCAAAATTAACTTATCAGGATCCCAGTTACCAAAGCCTAAGCCTAAAACGCAAAAAGCGTGTTGTCAATTGAACAACGTCGTCATTGTCATTTAGTCAAATTTTCAATTCGTGTAGGTGTAAGAAGCAACATCGCACACTTAACGCCTGCGAGCTCAAATGGCAACATGGCCCTGCAGCTCGGCAGAACTACTAAGTAGTAGGCTTGGATATATGCATAAGTGGGTACAACTAATCAGTTATTCTGGTAAATAATTGCTCTTTTTTTGCCAGAATATAAATGAATATTTGTGCCATTACCCATTTCTTCTGCCCAGAATATAAGTATGACCTTTAGCAGTGATTCGAGATCTGTACTGTTGAAGTTATATTAAAGCTTGCGATAATTCTAAAGCTGTACTTAAGACACAAAGGAGACTTCAGAATAAATATGGTATTTTTGCAATATACTTCCGTATGTTTCTTCTTTTCTGATTTCGCTTTAATTATATAAATATACTCAATAACTTGATATTGAATCGTTACTTCAATGCTGGGTTTCCTCAATCGTATTCAATACATTTGTAAAAAAATATTTGAGCAGGTTCTTTGGCCCCAGCGCTTGACAGTCTACCATGTATGCTTGAGGGACATTAAGATTTTAAATAAACTCAAATAATACATATGTATGTAGTCATCCTTTAGAGATGTATTGTAATGAATCATTTACGAAAACAAACTAAAAATGATGCAAAGTTATGAGCTAAATTAAATCGTTATAAAATAAACTTAGGTTCTCTATATATATCGTTCTTAAATCAAAGCTGACGGGATAGATCAGCCACCACCTGACCTACAGGGACCGCCACAAGTCACACACACCCACACACAAGCACAGCCCAACAAAAGTCGCGGCTCGAATTTCCCAAAGTGTCACAAATATTGCCAAGCTACCAATCCGCCCATCCACACACATACATTCATACATAAACAAACACGCCTTGGGGCCAGATACTTTAAAAAATTCAGCCCAAGGTTGCTGTTGCATGTGATTTGGAAAGCAATAAACTGTCCTCCCTCAACTGAGGTTCGTGCGAGCGCTAAATGTTGCGTATACGCAGTGTAATGATTTTTCAATGCGAGAGGACGCCCGCCCGCCCTCCATTATGGCTGCTATTGCGGCTGCTCGTTGGGATTTTTCTCGTATCTATGACTGGGTTATGTTCTAACAATGTCATTGAAAGAAAATAATTTGCAATTTGTGGGCGGCGCGCGCAATGATTTAATTTAGTGTGTGGCTTAGTGACGTGGTCTAGGATATCGGTTGAAATGGAATTGCTTTGCGAATTCGCTTAATTTGCAACCCCGCACATTCGCATGCAAATTAAATGATAACAAACTGTAACAAATTGCTGAGAAATTTTCGTTCATTCCTACACAAATTTCACAGCAGTCAGTCACACAGCTGGCATTTCATTGCAGAAATATTTGAACACATTTCCCACTGAACACAAGAAAAGGGACCAAATACATATCTTAATTGCAGTGCCGGAAATGAAATTTCAAAACGACGAAGAAAAAAATTAGCGAACTTAAGCATTTTAATGCGTAGAAAGTTATATACCCTTTCAGATATTGTAAATTTTATTCTAATTTTTATAAATAAAATGGATTTTAAAGAGAATATAGTACTTAAACCCGTCACCCAAGTACAATTTAAAATTCATCATCAGAAAATAAAGTATTTCGTTCTAAAACCAGAACGAACCAGAAGTTATTTTTAAAATGTTTTCCATGATTTTCTATTTGTTAATATTGCCCTTTTCGGAATGATGAATATCAAACAATATTCATATACTAACAGTTCTCAGAATTATTGCCAAGCTTGTGCCTCGCTTATAAATTTGAGATTTAATTCATACTTAATTCAAATGAAGACAAGTGCGGACAGAAGAGCAAAACTTCGAGTTTAATGTTGTAGAATTAGTCATTCTCTTTTTTCATTGATGTCCCATCTAAAATGTTGGCTCATTTAATGATCAAGTTTAATTTAAATTCACACACGTTTATGCTTTCAAGTTCAAAAACACATAAAATAAAACACGATCCTCTGATAGAAGGAAGTAAATGAAATTTCGTAAAATCAAAAGGGTCGAAGAGAGGATGAATAACTCCAGTAGAGGTTTAGGCACTATCCGAATTGCCAATATAGATATTTTTGTAAATTTAAATCGACATGTGTATGTATAGGTTTGATTAAACAAAGCTTATTAATAGGGCAATATACACAAGTCTTTACAAAATATATTGTATATTTGTTTTTTTTTCCTACTCTACTTATACTTTGGCTTTATATCTTTGCGAGCAAAAAATTCACATTTTTTCAGGGCATGTTTGGTTGAATGTTCTGAAAAGAAACAACTTGTTGATAAATTAGATTTGACTAAAAATATAGAATATATTTCATCTACATTGTTGAGTTCCCTTTTATGAAAGTGTATAAATGACATTGCGAGTCTGCACAAAAATGACCAACGAAATCAAATGTCGCCATGTGGCAATGTTGAAGGAACGCAATTTTTATTTTTCATTTCCAGGAGCGGTCGCTAAAATCAGTTGAGTGTCTCATTTTTTGCTCACCACTGCAATTGTCATATCGAATTAGTAAAATGGCCAACGTTCTTTTATCATCTACGTATGTATATGTTTGTATGTGTGGGGGCAATCAAATTTAATTAAATGGGAAAGAAGAACCGACAAGTGAAAATTTAATTTGGCAAAAGTTTCAACTCCAACACATGGCGATGCGACGGGGTCTGAAACTTAAAGCCCAGCGTGAAACTCTTCGACTTGCTCGATTCCCACAGCATGTGATAACCGCGAAAAAGAGAGAGTGTGTTGGTGTGGGTTTGAAAACTAAAAGGCAGGAACAAACTTAAAGTCAACGCGGAGGGATGATGAAACAAAAGAGCTGACGAAATAAATTTCCTGTTATAATAAAGAGCCATACAAGCCTTTCGGACTGATGGCCGCTTTAAGCTGCGCGCATTCAATAAATAAATGGCAACACACACATACACACAACACCATGTTGTGCCAGACACAAAATTACGAGCAGCAAATAGAGCGAACGAACGTATTTTCAATGAGGCGACACAAAAAATAAACGACTATAACATACACAACTATCGGACTATCGGCTACAAGCCAAACCCAAAAAATTGATGCCCGGGTATTTTTTACATACATATGTAGATATATGTATGTATGTATAGTATGTACCTACTTACTATATATAGGCATACGAGGACGGTTCTAACAGTATTTATCTGAAACTACTTATCATGGAAACAAAGCCTTAAATGTGGTCAAAAATAAGTTCGTAACGGATATTTAAAGTCATTTCTGATAGAGCCCGAGTCTTACTCTGTACCGCTATCAAGAAACTATCTATACCACGAAATAATTCTGATATGTTGTTCTGCTGTACGACGGACTCAACCAATAATTATTTTATGCAGAAGGTGTTGTACATCCGGTGATGATAAATGCTGATAAAATGCTGGTTTATTGTTTTTTAACAGCGATAGGCATAGTTTGGAGTCCTTCAGGATGCAATTACAATATTTGAACAGTCAGGTAATTATAGTTGTTCACATTTTTTAACTTAATCTTTTTGAATAGACATTTTTATACCCTGTACCCGTAGGGTAAAAAGGGTATATTAGGTTTGTGCAAAGTATGTAACATACAAAAGGAAGCATCTCCGACCCCATAAAGTATATATATTCTTGATCAGCATGACGAGAGAAATCGATCTAGACATGTCCGTCCGCCTGTCCGTCCGTCTGGATGAACGCGAGGATCTCAGAAACTATAAAAGCTAGAATAACCAAAGTTGGCATCCAGATTCTCCTAGATCCGAGTAAGGACGAGTTTTTT